ATCCCAGCCGCCCACCCAGCCTCAGCCACATGGCCCTGCTGCTGCACACCTCCCTTCCAGGCCTGGCTCTCTCCACCCACCCCAGGGGGGTCTTTGTCTCTGCCCTCACTGCCCAGCCCCCATGGCCATGCTTGGACACTGGTGATGCCCCCATCCACATGGGCAAGTTCCCCGGCTGGTGCGGCCTCCCTGAACTGTGGCCTCATGAAAAGGCCAAGCCCGGTCTGCCGCCCATGAGGTTGGGGAGGTGGGCCCTGAGGCTGGAAGGACCGCCTCTGTGTGGAACAAGGTACCTGCTTCTCTTTCTCAGCCCCCCTCAGGACCCTAACTGGGCACGTGTGTGCTTGTCACTTAAGGTCCAAGGATTGTGGAGGATGCAAGGCTGGTGGGCCCAGCCTGAAAGAGCATGAGGGGGAGGGGGTGGCATCCCAGGGGGAGAGAAGCAGGTGTCCCAGCCGAAGTTTGGAGCCAGGAGCGACATCACTCTTGAGGGGCAAGGAAAAGGAAGTATCTGGTCTCCAGCTTGGTGGTCTGAGCAACATTGTGTGTTCCTGCCCTTTACGCAGCAGGGGCAGGTCTGTGGCTAGAGGGGGTGCAGTTTAGTTGAGGGACCCCCCCCCCCAGGCTGAGCACAGGTCTCCGCAGCAGTGGGAGCGGCAGGGACAGAGCCATATGGGAACCCCACCCCATAGGGTCCCTGCAGGGGACTAGGAAGGTGGGCAGGAGCGCAGAGCCAGGTGGGGTTCCAAGGAGGGTAGTGCAGCCCAGGGCTCCAGAAGAGGAAATGCCCACTCACTCTCTGAGGAAGTCAGCCAGGAGGGCAGCCGAGGGGCAGGGGGGTTATGGGAGCTGGAGGAGGGGGGAAGGAGGAGTTCAGGTGCAGGACTCGGGGCAAACACGCTGAGGTGGTTTCCCCAAACGTGACCGGGGAGGTGGTCGTGGAGTGGCGTCCCTCCCCCGCCATAGGCCCCCTTCCCGACGCCCTGGCCTGAACCTCCTCATCTGGACGGCGAAGCCGCGTCGTGAAATCTTCCAATACGGAACAAATTGGCCAAAACGTCACAACTACCAAAAAGTGCCCAGCTGGCCATTGGGGGTGGAGAGAGCCCAAAACGTCCATCGTGTCTTGTAAAGTGCCTGCCTCTGCCTCGGTCCCAGACACAGGAAGGGCTTCGTCCTGAGCACCAGGGCCCTGCCCCAGCTGAGAAGGCGGACGCTGACCTCCCTGCAAGGGGACAGGGGTGGGGAGGCGCAGCTGGGGATGGGCGGGCAGGGCCCTCGCGTGGGAGGCAGGGCCACCAGAGGCCAGCATCTCAGGGAAGCCGTCCGGATCCTGAGCTTCCCCACAAAAGGTAAGGATACGCCCCTCACAGAGCGGAGTGGCATTTAAGAAGACCTCAGGAGACACCACCGAGCCCCCGCCAGCTTCCACGCGGCTTTCTCCCCTTTCCAGACTAACATCCAGCGCCCTGCCCTAAACCAGCCCTGAGGCGGTCGACAGATCCCGGGTAAATTGCAGAAATTCAATGTCAATTGCAGAAATTCTATGAATTCGTCCATTAGTTAGCAGTGCAAACAGACATTCACAGGGATGTTCTGTGCGGCTAAGTCCACACATCCAACAACAGAGAAACTGGAAGAGGGAGGGAGGAGGCGAGGGGCCAGCGCAAACCCCGTAGAGAACGCTCCTGAAGCAGAAGAGGACTCCCCAGGAGTGCCACCAGTCACGAACGAACATGAGAGGAACGTGCGATCGCTAATCAGAAGCCCAAGTAATGGATGACAAAACAGCAGACTGGAAGCAAGATTAACAGCCGAGGAAACTCGCTTCCTCACAATCACAGCATTCTGGAATAAGTCTGAAGCAGCACGGGGCGCGACGTCAGATTACCGATGGGGCGAAGGCTGGAGACCATCTGCGGGCAAGACAAAGCAACGGAAACAAGAATTTATTTGTTCGACCGTTACTTGTGGAACGTCTGCTTGGTGCCACAGTTTAGATGGGCGGGGGGGGGTGGGGGGGGGGAGGGGCAGGGGGTAAGGAGACGCGATCTCTGCCCTCGGGGAGCACACAGCCCAGTGGGGAGGAAGGCAGGGATGATCATACACGATGAGGTCACGTGTCCTGAGAGGGTGAGGGGACAATTGTTGAGAGAGGTCAGGACGTTGGGAAGGAGGGACCCTCAGCCCTGCGCGGGTGCGGCACGCCTCAGGGCCCACGGGGCGCGGGCTTCGCCACTGGAGGGCTCGGAGTGACCTTTCTTCGGGGGACCCCTGGCGGTGGCACCCGGCGGGGGCTGAGAAGATGCAGAGGCTCCAGTGGCAGAGGGCTCGGAGGGGGCGCAGAGATCGGTGTCCCGGAGTGACAAGGGGCCTGCAGGCCGTGCTCAGCAGGATCTGCACTGAGGCCCACCGTGCCTGAACCCGGCCGTCAGGGGTCAGTAGAGCTGTTTATCGGGAAGCACAGATCGCAGACACGGCAGACACGGACAGAAAGCCAGGTTGACCCTCGCTTCTGCAGTGACACTCAGAGCGGGAAGACTCAGCCCTGAGGGAAAGACGGTGTCACCCAAGACAGGAAGGAAGGGTCCCCGGCCAGCTCTGGTGTGGGTCTAAGGGCCTCAGGAAAACCTCTGTAAACCTAGAAGAATCCAAGAAATAAACGTCTTCAGACACATAAACCCGGACCTTAAATGCAGTCAATGAGGATGGAACCCAAACAAAGCCTGAGTGGCCACGTGGGGGTGGTGAGCTCAGGCTGGTGTAGACCTGAGACCCCCGCCAGCCCCCAGTGGGGGCAGGGCCCGCTCCGCAGCACTGGAAGTCAGACAGCAGCCAGCGCTGTCTGAGGGGAGCCCGCTGCCAAAGCCACGTGACGCTGGCTCTTGATTTTTGCAATTTCTAAAAATAAACTTAGGAGCAGCTTTTAAACTTGGGGTGAAGACACATCTAATTCAGCAATCATGTTTTCCCTTTAAATTAATTTTTTTTAATCTTCAAGGGGGAGCTCTCTACTTTATTCCCACGTGCCCTCTGCCTAGGCCTCTAGAAACCTCCGGGTGACCTTCACCTGACGTCAGTAGCCTTATCTTGATGAAATTGTGGGTGAGATTTTAAAACTTTATCCTCAGGTTGTTCGACAGTGAACACACGTGCTCTTGCAAAGCCAACGAAGTCCTTTTTCTCAGCGGGGGCGATGCTGGCCCTGGGAGGACACGAACAACACGTCCCAGGCACACAGCAGTTCTGGGGCGCTGCAAGTCCCCCCTTCCCACCCGGCACGTCCACAGCAGCCTCTGCTCTCTGTCCCAAGCTGGCCTGCCTCGTGAGCACAGACAGGTGCTAGGACAGCACGCGGTCAGCACAGGCAAGCCTGCGTGTGGGACACTGTCCCCCCCCCTGCCGCCAGAGCACCCCAATGCCCTCAGCCCAGGGATGTCTCCAAAGGTCTTCCCTAACTCAGAGGTGTTCCCTGATGGCCCACCACCTGGGGGGTTCCCCGTGAGTCCTGGGAGGGACGCATTGTCGCTACTGGAGCTGGAAGAGACACCCGCCTGGCTGAAAGGAAGGGAAGGAGCCGCTAAGAGTGGACATACGGTGGGGAGCACTGCGGTGTCCCTCAGGGGGGCCCGGGGGATGCCCTCACCAGACGGATGCCGCCCCAGGACTCTCCCTCCCCGCTCATCCTACTGCCGTGCACCGTCTGCTGGATGGACCCCCCTGCCTCCCAGGGACGCTCGGCCGGGGCACTGTGGACACCTGGGGCCCCGTCATTCTTGGCTGCAGGGGGGGTTCTGTGCTCTGCGGGATTGAAACAGCACTCCAGTTCTGCCCACTCGATGCCAGGGCCGCCTGTGGAAAGCAGAGCGCCCCCCAAAAGATGTCCGCATCCTCACCCTGAACCAGCACGCGTGCCTATCCGCGTCCTCGCCTTGACCCTGCGTACGCCAGGTCCCCCGGAGCGGGGCGGTGGAGGGGGGGGGGGCGGGGGCACTGCCAAGCCAGGACTTCAGAGTAGCCGCAGGACCAGGGGCCCGACATCAGCACGGGGCCTGAAGTTGGAAGACGTAGAAGCCCCCGAGAAGACGTGTGGCAGGGACAGAGGGACGCCATGCTGCTGGCTTTGAAGGTGGAGGAAAGGGCCAGCCACAGGCCAAGGGTTGCAGGCAGCTTCTAGAAGCTGCAAAAGGCCAGACAGATTCTCTCCAAGACCTCCGGAAGAAAAGGCAGCCCTGCCCGCACCCAGGCTGAGATCTGCTTTGGCCTCTGCAGACCTCACAGTCCCTACGTCTGCTTGAGGACGTGAAGTCTGTGGCCGTCTGTCAGGGCGGCCGTAGGAACCAACGGTCCCAGTGACAGCAAAACCGTCTGCAGGTGGTGAGTGACCCCTGTCCTGGGCCCCGCTCTCCTGGGGAAGGTCCCCACCTGCCCCGCCGCCCAACCTCTCTGCTCTGCCGCTCTAGTGGGGAGTGTGGGGTGCCTGGCTCCCAGCTGGGGAGACCTCATGCAGGGGAGAGGCCCTGACACCACCTGGAAGGCAAAGGGCTGGCTCTTCCAGCATCCTGGACCCACCACCCGCTGACCAGCCTTGAGAGGCTCCCCAGGCAAGACCAGAGCCGGTAGCTCAGCCCAGTGAACCGCTGGCTCTCTAGTGACAACATGGGAGTCCTTTAAAGTCACTGAGCGGCAAAGAACATCGAAGTACGTGTCGCTCTGTCCTAGCCGTTGACACTTCAGCTCCCACTCTGGACCGTGAGCACTGGTGGGGGTGGGGGTCTTCCTGCCCAGCATGGAGCCTGGCGCCTGACACCCACCCCCCACCACGTCATCGGAGGTCCCTAGGGAGGAGGGGGAGGGGATCACGATGTCCCCCAGGCCCTGCCTAGACCTCACCCCGGGGTCCTGTGGGGCAGCAGCATCGGGGCAGGACGCTCCGGAAGGGAGGCCGGTGTGTGCAGAGCCCAGGCGTGGGGTTCTTCACCTCATCTTGTCCACAGTCCCCTCCCCCCAGCTGCCCCCACACAGAAGCCCGGTCAGCCCGGGAGTCCATCACCAAATCCAGGGAATGGTGCCCGCCACCCACTGTTGTCTGTCCGGTGCCCCCGAGGGCTGGGAGCCTGCGGTCACTTCCCCCCTTCCTGCCCTCTCCAGCTTGATCTCTCCGAATGTGGTTCTGCCTCGTCACCCCCGGCTCAGGACTCCCCCCCCCCCCCCCCCCCCCCCCCCCCCCCGAAGCGGACCCCGTGGACCACAGTGGGTCCAGGGCCAGCGCTTCATGGTCACCCCGGGCCCTCTGCCCACCAAGCACTGTATGGAGGTGGGGAGGCACCACCTCCTCCAGGAAGCCTCCCTCTGTGTTCGGCACCCGGTCCGTGTTCTGCTCCCCCAGGGTTATGTGTGCCCCTTTGGGCCTTCCGGGGGAACAGGGCCCAACATAAGACCTGGTGTCCCCAAACTGGGTGGCGTCAGTACCCAGCAGTTCATGACATTAAATGCCACCCTCCTGGAGGACAGGGCTGGGCAGAGGACTTGGTCATGACCAGGCTCTGTACGTGGGGCCTGTGAGGGCAACATGCCCCACTCCGCGTCCCAACGCCCCCTGCCCTGGAGCCACTCGCAGCTGCTTGACCCCAGGAAGGTGTGGGGGGCTATCCTGGAAGGCCCCGCTCTGCCCTATCCCCCAGGCCCCTCCCCGTGGCCTCCTGGAGGCTGGGCCGGGGCAAGGCATCCCTCCCACAGATGGCCTCCAAGGCCTCGGGCAGCCAGAGGGTCCAGGAGGACCTGTTCTCCCATCCGAAGACTCATGAGCCCCTGGTGGGGTGTGAAGAGAGCTCAGCCGCCGCCACCCCCCTCGCCGCGCCCCCCAGGAAAGGCGCTGAAAGACAGACACTGGGCTGAGACACTGGGCTCTTAGGAGGGCGGGGACCTCGAGAGCTGCGCCTCCAAAGTCACGGTCTGCCACAAGGGCGCGCTCGGGGCCAGGAAGGCTTGGAAGGCGTTGGCGGCCTCGGAGGGCCTGGAGCGTGGGGGAGGAGCACGTCCTTGGCCACGTCCCCGGACACCAGCTGGGCCACGAGCCGCGAGAGGTCCTGAGGGCAACCGCGGGGTCAGGGGGCGGGGCGAGCCAGGGAGAGGAGTCGCCGGGCAAGGGCTGTCTCGCGCCCCGCGCCTCCCTCCCGCCCCCTCCCGTCCCCCCGCCCCGCCGCCGCCGCCGCCGCCTCCCCGCGGCCCCCCCACCCCCCCCCCCCGCACACCCTGGAGTGGGAGGGGGGCCCGGCGGTCCCCGGCTTCTCCCGGCCGCCCTGCACGGCCAGTCGCCGGCGCTCGTCGATGCTGACGCTCCAGCGGTGGCTCCGGCGCCCGCTCTCGGCCGGCTGGCACACCTGCGGGGACACGGAGGCGGTGGGCGCGGGCCACACCTGCGGGCCGCCGACCCTCTGCCCCTCACCTCGCGCGCCCGAGGTGCAGTCTGCTCGCTCCTCCCCGGGCTCGGGCTCAGCCTCCGGGTGTCCGCGCTGCAGCCTCAGGCCCCGTGGCCCAACCACCTGGGCCTGCTTTCCTGCTCGAGGGCGGACCGCCAAGTCCGCACAGCCGAGGCCCCGGCCCTCCCCACTGGTGCCCGGAGGTGGGGGCTGGCCCGCGGGAGCCTCAGGAGAGATGGGACCCACAGGTGGGCCGCTGCGTCTCAAGTCCCTCTGGAGTGATCATAAGGAGAGACTGGGGGACAGGAAAGAGCCCCCCCCCGCCCCCCCGGCTTGTTCTGGAAGAGGAAGACGGAGTGTGGGAAAGAAGCACTCAGACAGCAAGCGGAGCTCAGCGCAGATGTGGCGTGGCTCAGACAGGTGGTGCTGCCCCTCCCTCCCTGTGGCCACGGCACTTTGGCAGCTCCTGCTAGGGTCTGCTGCCCCAGGATGGGGGTGGGGGGGGGGCAGGTCCGCAGCAGAGCACCTGCTCTGAGGATGCCCGTGCGCTCCAGGGCGCCCCTTGGGTCCCCACCACCGGCTGTGAGCGCGGCGCCCCCAGGGGGACCCCTGACACTGGGAGGCAAGCAGAGGACACGCAGGTCCTGCTGACCTCAGACCCCCGAGTGGAGAGCGAGGGTTCGCGCTGTGGATCAAGGAAATCGTTACAGAGCGTCGTTATGGCAAATGTGACTGATAATCAGGACTGGCAAGACGCCAAAAACCCGGCACCTGGGGGCTCAGTCGGTTAAGCATCCAACTCTTGGTTTGGGCTCAGGTCACGATCTCACGGTTCGTGGGATGGAGTCCCAAGTCGGGCTCTGTGCTGACAGTGGGGAGTCTGCTTAGGATTCTCTCTCTCCCTCTCTGCCCCTTCTCTGCACACACGTGCATGTGTGCACGCTCTCTTTCTCTCTCAAAATAAATAAACTTAAAAGAAAAAAAAGATTAAAAAAACAAAAACGAAGCGATCACAACTAGGTAACAAATCACGAGGAAACTAGATCATCCGTGTAGGCCAACATCCAGTGAATCAAAGGTTCAGGAGGAGAGTGCCACAAGAAAGAGTGCACGCACGCACTTCCAGAGTCGAGAGGAACGGGGCTCCAGGCTGGAAGGGCTCACACAGGACGAGAGGAGACCGACCTGCACCAGGGGTAGAGCTGTGCCATCAGAACAGCGGCGGTGGAGGAAGAGCTCAGAAAGTCGCAGAGACTGAAAGGCAGGGCACACACAAAGGACCTGAGGTCCGCACCATCTAGGGCACTGGGCAGCAACACTCGAGTTTAGAGGCAATACGACGGTGCCTCACAGATCCTGAAAGGAGGATCTCCCACTGAGAAATGCCATGCAAGTGTGGAGGCACAATAAAGACAGTTTAACAACTTTATAGTCGAGGACTCAAACATCTTCTGGACCCTTCTGGGCAGCTGTTAGATGAGGCAGTCCACCGAAACAAGGGAGCAAACCAGTGAGTGGGGAGTCTGAGGGCCCAGGAACAGGGGTCCTGCAGAGGAGGGGCTGGCGGGGCGCCCCAGACGAGCAGCCTCCCCTGGGAACAGAGCTGGCCTCCGGACTTCCCCCAAGCGCGGCCTGTGGGACTCCGGAGCGGCCACGGGCAGTTGTCCACATGCCTGGGGCTCTGAGGAGGAGTGAGCCTCATTAGCACAGGCACAGCAGCTTCTGGATGTGGCTGGGGTCCCCAAGGAGAGCGTGCATAGTGAGGACAGGGTCCCCAATCCTGGAATCACAATTCAGGGAGGCCGATTCTCAGGTCATGGGTAGCACTGGGAGGGACAGAGGGAGACGGCACTACCCAGCCACCCTGAGGGGCCCTGCCTGATGTGTCAGGGTATTTGTGGGAAGTATCCAGCGTTGAGGGAATTTCGGGAAAGGATTAATAACCGGTGCGTATCAGATGGGGGGGGGGGTGTGCCACGATTAACTCCAGGGAGAAGCAAAGCACTGTGTGTGCGTGCGTGCGTGTGTGTACGCGCTGGTCATGGTGCTCTGTGCTCAGTGGATGTGCTACGTGGGTGAAGCCCACACAGTCACTGGACAGCGCACACTGCAAGCGGATTTAGGGGAAAAGCCTGAAACCACACAGTGGGGGCGGGGGGGCGGTGCCGTACCCTCAGTCTCTGGGAGGCACAGAATCAGAAAGTGAGGGAGCGAGAAGCAGCAGTGCCCGCGTGCTCGTTCAAACTGGGGGAGCAGCTGTGAGAGCTGGAAGAGTGGGTGCAGGGCAGTGCCACCTGCGACCCCAAGGGCTGGGGCGGGGCTCTTGTTCCAAATTACGCGTGCGTGCGCGTTAACAAAAGTAGCACAGAATCTTAGCGATAAAGACTTCGGTAACTAAGATGAGGGATCTAACAGTCACGGAACGCGCGCGCGTGACTTTGACCCACAGAGAACCACGCGCGCTCTCACCCAACAAGCGGAGCACCGCACACATCAGCCTGGTTTCAGGCCACCGACGAAGCAGATGCGCCAGCACGGGACTCGTACGGGTCACAGTAGGCGAGCGCAAAGCCACACAACGCAATGAACAATTAATGGCGGAGGCATATTGGCGTGGGCTTTCCAAAACACCCTTCTCATCCACCCGCGCGAAAAGGAAAATCCATACTATGTGCCGACTCACTTAGAGATGAGCGAGGATCCAGGGTGCGCTCCTGTCCTGTGAAGATGAAGTTTTAAATGCTGGAAAGTTAGAAAAAAAGCCACAGGCCAGATTGCAAAGCAGGAAATTCAAGAAGCTAGGAAAAGGACAACAAAAGAAATTCACTGCAAGTTACAGGCAGGAGCAAAGATTAATGAATAAGTCCACAGGGGACAATTCTCACCAGCTGGCTTTCTGAAAACCCAGCAGGACAGAGCGACTTGAGTCCCCCCCGGCCCCAGGCACGGTCCCCGTCATGTCGGCCATCTCCTCCTGCCACGAACTGTAAGCCCACGTACTTCAGACGCTCTCCTACCCAGCTCTGGACACGGCTCTCCTGCTGCTGCGAAGCGCCTCTCTGTGGACTCTGGTTGGGAATGTCACACGTGCCACAGGCAATCCTTCCAGACGTCTTAGAATGTGTGTCTTTGAGGCCTTGAAAAACTGCAGTCAGATTTGTCAGCATTTCCCCTCGTGGGTTCTGTGCGTGGCCCCAGGGAGGAATTTCCCACCGAGAGATTCTTTTTTTTTTTTTTTTTTTTTTAATTTTTAACGTTTATTTACTTTTGAGACAGAGAGGGAGAGAGAGAAGAGAGACAGAGCTGGGGAGGGGCAGAGAACGAGGGAACACAGAATCCGAAGCAGGCTCCAGGCTCTGAGCTGTCAGCACAGAGCCCGACGTGGGGCTCGAACTCACGTGATCCTTAAGATCACGACCTGATCTAAAGTCAGATACCCAACCGACTGAGCCACCCAGGCGCCCCTCCGTGAGATTCTGACAATGCTCTCACACACCCTCCTGGCACATCCGTGGTTTGGTCCTAACACTTGGTGTGCGTTTGAGGACACGTGAGGAGTCTACCTTATGATCTCCTCAATGGGCAGCCAGTTACCCCGACACCATTCGTGGGAAAGTCTGTTTCCTCACTGTTCTGCAATCCGTGCGAAGCACAGATCAAATCCCCAGACTTACACAGGGGCCCGTTTCCAGACTATTGGCACTGGATCGTGGACCACTTGTGCGGTCTGTCTGTCCCAACGCGTACAATTTTAATTGCTGGAGCTTAGAGCAGACAAGCGGTGCCTGCTCTTCTGTTTCAAAATTCGTGTCTGGTTTCTCTTCCAAGTAAATTTGCAAAAAAAAATCTTTATTTTTTCAAACAGTATCTTTACTATGCAGTGATGTATGCACATTTCTGAACCCTGAATAAAGGAAGCCACGCTGCACACATACGGCACCACTTGCTTCCTTCACTCACGAGCATGTCTGCCGGGTCACCCTGCTGCCACGTGGAGAGGCACCCACCCGCTCTAACTCCAGGCCGAAAGGCAGTTTGGCACCAAAGCAGGCCGCGAACAGATGGGAGACTGTGCGTGGGAGGTCCCCGTCCCACTCGGTTGGAACGTTCCCACGTGTCTCTCCATGCACGTTCATGCGCACATCGAGGGACCGGGTTGTTTTTAATCCATCTGACAATGGCTGCCTTGTGAGTGGGGCGTCTGGTCTCCGTGCGTCCATCGACCGGACCGACATCGGCGATTACACCTGCTGCGGGACCTCGTGCTTTGTCTCGTCCCTCCCTCGGTGTACTCACCGCCCACACGCGAACTCACCGAACCCTAAGCTCACGGATGGGCCCATCGGGGGGACACCGCAGGGCCTTCCGAATACCCAGCGCCACTTGCAGATGCCGTCCTGACACTCGCGCCACCATGGGCGCGCATCCGCCCACCCCGAGTCTCTTGCTTCTTGGCACCCCCTCCCATCTGAGATCACCTTCCCGCTCTGTGAGCTCTGTTCTTCACAACCGGGGTGAGGTCCTGCCGGGGCAAATTGGTTTTCTCCTATTTTGCCTACCCTTTTATTTATTTACTTTCCCCTCTTCTTAAAAGATTGCTTTTGCTGGGCACGAAATTCCAGATTGACAGTTATGTGCTCCGCCGGCTCAAGCTTCTATATTGTTAACGCCAGGCTGTCACTCCCTTCCAGACTCTGTCTCCTCTTTGATCGTTCCTGACATCTTATCTTTGCCCCTGGTGCCCCGCAGCCGCACTATGGCGGCTCTTGGTATAGACTCCCCTCACTTCCCCTGCTCTCGATTTGCTGGGCACGTGACTACGTTAGACTGCCCGTGTTAGCCAGCCTCTACGGTGGCATCCAGAGATTTGTGCCCCTGGTGCTCAGGCCCTGTGTCCTCCCTGCCACGTTATGTAGTGGTGACCTTGTGTCCAATAGGAAGTTGTAGACACGATGGAGTGT